TGGTGGACTAATGCAGAGTCTTCATTTGTTTTTCCTCTTCTGTTCTCAACCACTCTTTGAGATCAGTGTTTGATAACGTCCCTGCCGCCAGTTTACCACCAAGAAAGAAGTGGTTGCAAATTCTGTCTAACAAACACCATTTTAACCTTACCACTGTGCTCCACACTCGTGTCCAGGTGTCCCTGTTGCTTGACGGTCAGTTTTTTAAATGGTCATATTTGACTTTAATGTTTGAATCCAGATTTTAAACATCCTGTCATTTGCATAGGAACATGGCTATTTCTATAGGTGACTGACTTCTCTCTGTGTGTTGTTCTCTCATTATTACAACTGAAACAGTTTCTGAATGTGTGCTGTCAGTTGTTTTATAAAAGAAGGCAAGATATAAAATACACATTTTACATTTTGATGTACACTTGTATTACTATACTTTGAACTGTGTTTTTACCTTAATTGTACATATGTGGCTTTTTTAGGAGAATGGAACCTGTTTTGGGGAAGATTTCTGAAGCTTTTGAGTAACACAAGTAACTCTTATTTGTATCTTTTGTTATAGCAATTAGTTTGCATGTTTTTTACAAGTAGACGAGACTTCTGTTTAAGTATGTACGACAAAGAAATCATATGTTGCAGCAATTTTCACATTAGTTGTTTAAAATAGTAATTCTGAGTAGTCTTTACAAAGTGAAGAGTAGATGTGACTTATAATAGCCCGTACTCACTTAAAGTTTTTATCTTTGCAAACAAAATATCACTATTAAGCTCAGTCTTTAATTTCACACCAGTATAAACCAGTTTTAAGTTTGTCTAATGTGATTCTAAATTTAGACAGGCCTGATGATGCCATGATCACAAGCAGTATTGATTCAAAAGCCTTTGGTGACCACTAAGAAGTGAACATAACTTTAAACTTATCAGTAAGAAGATGTGGAAGTTTCCCTTCTTGTTCCATGGTGCTTGTTGTTGTTGTTCCTTAAAGATGTTTGTTTAATAAAGCTATTAATTAAAGCTTCTCAATAAAAACATGCAGTTGTCACTCTCAGTTAGGCAGAGGACTCACTCGCAGGACTCTGATTTTTAGAGAGAGGGTGAAGGATTTATTGTGAGAATATATACATATATACAGTGGAACAGGTAATACAGGGCTCCAGGGGTTTGGGGGTCCGAAGGTGAGGGAAGGTCCAGGGAAGGCACACACTCTCCTCTTTTACAGTCTGTGATTCACTCAGGCAGTCCAATCATGCTCATGCCCACTCACACACATCCACAGGAATCCAGGGAGCAGGAGAGATGGGCAGGGAAAACTATGTTAGAAGGAAACTCTGGGAAATGACAAAAGATACTCAAGAGGCAAGGCAAGGCGAGGCGAGGCGAGGCGAGGCTAGGCTAGGCGAGGCGAGGCGAGGCTAGGCTACACTGACACTAGGTAGTGCAACAATCCAGCGAGGAAGCAGCATCTCCTGCCGTCTTAAGTAGTCTGCCAGGAAAAATGCTTGCGATGAGAAGCCAGAGCAGAATCAGCATGAATGAGCCACAGGTGTGCTGTGAGGCGGGTTCAGAGGCAGGGAAGCAAAGTCCAGTTCTGCCTTGTTGGAGAGGCTGAGACAAACACACACCACACCCTCTCCAGATCCTGAGAACCATGACAGCAATGCTCTAAACAATGATGAAGCAATGTAAAACATGCATGCAAAGCATATTTAACATTAAATCCTAAGTCTTGGGCAACCCAATGACACCAACAAACACCAACAAAATAGAGAAAAAACCTGACCTTCAGACCACACTGCAACATAAAAAAGTGTTAATACACATATTTTACTCTTTGTTATCTCTGAATCTGTGATGAGGTACTAATAAGTTACTAAACTCCTTCCTCCTACACTAGTACAGTATCATTGGGGACGCACAAATAATGATTCTGTGCAGTGCCCCCTGGCATAAAAGACAAACATCACAGTGCCCAATTCTTTTTTCTTATTTTGGTGTCTGCCTTTAGGGGTCACCACAGGCGATCATCTGCTTACATCTCACCCTGTCTCTAGCATCCTCTCCTATCACACCAACCCTCTGCATATCCTTCTTCAGGATATCCACGTGTTTTCTCTGTGGTTTTTTCATTTTCTTTTCCCCTGGCAGCTCAATCTTTAACATGTTTTGTGAAATATAGCCACTATCCCTCCTCATGTTTAAACCATCTTACCGCACGCAAAATGCAAAAAATAGATGAATAAATGTCCTAAAATGTTTTTAAACAATACTGTAATTTTAGAAATGAGTGATTTAGGAAGTTGAGATAAATAAGTAAAAATAAAAATGAATAATAGTTATTGTTTTTTCAACACAGTTGCCAGAGCTATAGCTTCCACAGCCATCACGCTATCACAATAGCACAGAAATAAATATGAGACACTGAGTTCGTTCTGCTTGTAAAATTAAAAAATAAAATCAGATACACAAACCTGTTAAGCATGGACTGAGTATGTACTTCACTGTACTTTTATTTTCTTAAGGTTTAATGTACTGTAGTTTCAAACTATTTGGTATGGGAAAATGTTGCTGTACTGGTGGATTTCTTTAATATTGTAAGTTCTTGACATTAGTGTAAAGTCTTTTGTAAAGGAAAATACAATAAAAGCAAGGACAGTGTAACGAAGCAATGATAAAGTCCAAACATTTCCCACTAGAGGGCGACATTGTGTAAAAAATACTGAAAATTGTCATGCTGCTATTCCCACAATAGGAGAAAGAGGGTGATTTGTACCCCTTGTTTCTAGTGAACCATAGAAGAAATCAGTCATGTGACTGCACATTTTTGAAGAGTCAGCCATTTTACTAATCCTGCAAATAAGAGAACCTCATTACATCAGAATATTTAAGTTCAAAAACGATTTTTGCCTTTCAAGGTAAAATTTCTGTGATCAAGGTTTTTTGATTGTTTTGTCTAAACAGTTACAGACAGGTTTAAAAACATTTCACAAATGTTTTAGTGCTTTGGTAAGCTACACTGTGAGTCTATATGGTGTGGTGCTTTGTGCCCAACTTATGAATATTTTAAATATATTATTTTATTGATTGTTTTTTATTATTATTATTATTTACCGTTTTTCACAGTGACATTCTTTATTTCAGACCAAAAATAGAAATAGACCATCATGCCATTGAGTTATAGTAGGGAGGACAGGCAGGGCTTTCACTCCTTTACAGGACATGGACAGAGTGAATGATGTGAGAAGGGGAAGTCCATTCATCAAGTGGCGAGGAAGATGAACATATTCATGATGACATTAAAACAATGTGTGGAGAAGAAAAAGATAGATGGAAGAGACATAAGGCTATAAAAGGATGTAAAAGATCTGGACTTGTCAATCAAGTGTTATGGAGAGAGAGCTGGCAGAACATATGAAGGCACTAGCAGCATTTATGTGTTCGTTACTTTGTGCATACTCAAAATCCAGTTCATGGTATTTGAATATGCACAAAGAAATGACATTTTGATCCAGCTAGCAGGGATATCAGAGGCAGGTTGGGTTAAGTGTCCATTTAAGGAAAAGTATATAGGGAACAATAATTATTTCCCCTGGAAATGCTCATTATCAGTTATTAAAATGCAGATAGTTCACAAAGAAGTAAAGTTGGGTACTTATTTAGAGTGTATAGCTTGACATATAATTGAAAGTAATTGTGATTGTCATTATGACGTTTGCAGGCAAAATCAAATCCTACAACTACATGGATTGGTTGATGGTGCTGACTGACACTGGTGCAAAGTGTTTAAGGTGAAGTAGTAATGGGATTGTGAATGGAAAGCCCATCTTCACTTTCAAAGACAATTGTGACAGAGTCATCCCTCGAGAAGATGTGCATAAAAAAAGAACTACCCACACCACAAAAACTTGGTGGTACATCCAGAAGGTACAGCAGTGGGTAGCTTCAACAAGTTCATTTGGTCCTTGGCCATTTTTAAGAAAACTGACTTTCGATGTGCTCGTGTGGCTTGTATAAAATTGGCCTTTGATATTGTAAAATAATTTTAAATATGTTAAATTTGTCTAGCTTTTATATAGCATTACAGTTTCTGAGATCAAAATATGCTGGCTCAATTTACCCCAAGGTATTCTCTCCAAAGATGCAACTTACCCTGCATCGGGGTCAAGTTGTGCCACAAGAGCACTTGTGGCACAACTATATATTTCAGATCCAAAGTGATTGTTCCCAAGCATGCACAACATCCTGAACATGTTTTAGTTGGAAGCATTACTATCATGGCCTCACTTTAAGCAAAATCTTAAAGTGAGTTGTGCCAGTTTTTACTTTAAGTAAAAACACCCCACTCTCCCCTATTTATGTTTTAAAACTCAAATAATAAAACTCCAAATTTAGAAGTTTTCACCATCCACAAAATATATTGTGCAGTATGTCTAAAAACTTATTTCACATTATGAAACAGTGATCAGTTCAGTTAATATGGTTTTATGTTATCACTGTACAAGAATTAAAAGATATACACCAAGATGCATTTCATGATTATTTTGCCACGTAAGCATTGATCACATTGTTTTTCCACAAAGTGCATGTGACCTGCATTTGAATTTAATGTAAACATTGCCCAGATGGGACCCAGGAGTCTAAAATGACAAAAATCTCCTGCCTTGGGTTGTATTTGTGATCTCAGTCTTTCAGTCATTAACCAGAGCTCATGACAATTGGTGATCTTAGGAACATGAATCTAAAGCTCTTATTCTCTCAGTTCTTTCTTCAATGGACCAGTGCAGCATCTGCATGACTGCTGTTGTTGCCCCAGTTCATTTATAAATCTCCTGCTTCCCCTTCTCCTCTCTCAGTAACTTCATTTGCAGAAAATTAAAAAAAAAAACTGACACATGAAGTAAACTTAATTCAAGACTTTATTGTTTAAGAATTGTAAAGATTTTGTATTTAAAAAATGTAAAACCCAGAAACCACAGAGCTTCTCATCATAATTTGTGGGGAATAAAAAGAGCAGAAGAATTTCTCTCTAAATGCTATTTTCATGCTTGTGAACCAAAGATAAATAACAGCAAGTAAAAGGTGAAACTAGGTGTTGGTGTAAGTTGCAGAACTCATTTCAACCATCAGAAGAGAATCCTCTGGATCTCCTCTTGTTTGTGGGACAGCAGAGACTTCAGCTTTGGCATGTTTCTTTTTCTTCCAAGCAAAGTAGATGGGAATCCCAATTAGCAAGAGAATGACCACAACTGCTCGCAAACCACATATAAGCATCTTATCTGTTAGGAGACACCAAAATCACATGTTAGGCAGAGCTGGGTCTGCTGTTGGTTCAATGTACATTGTTTTCATGTACCTACCCTGATGTCTGTATCCCACTGACAGAGCTGCAGTTAATAAAGTAAAAAATGAAGCATAGTATGATCCAACAAACAAACAGTTCAAGACATAATAACCATAAAAATTTAATTTGTGCTTAATAACTTTTATTCATAAGGTTCTCACTCACCACAGGTAGACAGCCTGTGTTCTATGAAAACATTACTGACGTTGTTCCTGACTGAGCAGACCAGATGTCCTGACATGTGCTGTCTCAGAGTGATGATGTTAGTCTCATTATTTACAGAAAGGAGCTCAGCATCTGTCAGTGTGCGTCCATCCAGAGTCCAGCTGTACTGAGGACTGTCCCCTCCCTCAGAGGAGCAGGACACCCTCCTCTCTCCCTGGGACAGACACTCAGAGACCAGCAGGACAGAGGACACAGGAGCTGAGAAAAACACACAGATGAGTTTAGATTTCAAATCGACATTGCAGAATTAAATCAGTCATTCTTTATAGTCTTCAGTGGAAAAATATGTATAAACCGTAAAATACATGTATGGAAAGATATGGATTACTTCAACAATATTAAAGTTATATTCATATCTATTAATGGCTTCATTTCACAACAAGGAAAACATTACCTTGAACAAACAATTGTAGAGTCTGCTCATCTGATGCTTTTCCATCTGAATCAAAGCTTTTAAGGCTATAATTACCGCTGTCTGTCCTGCTCAGATAATTGAGCCTAAGTGTTCCATTACTGGGAAAAAGCAGAAATTTATGTTCTATGATATTATAAAGAATCCTTTTCTTTCTCACATCTAGTATTTTTAATGAATTCTTTAACAAATGGTATCGAGGTATTTTTGCGGTGCTGTCCATCAGCTTTATCTCCACACTTCCTCCCAAAGCTCCATAACACTGAGCTCCATCCTGTCTGCCATCACAGTAAGTTTCCACACCTGCAACGACACAAAAAAAGGAAACAAAAGCAAAATTATTTGAATGGACTGGCAGCACTAACAAATGTTTACCTGAAACAGAAATGTTGTTATTGCAGCTACTGTTTGTCTGTGTTTTTGTGAAGATGCCTTTATTGTTGCACACATGAGTAGCATGGACCTCTGAATATTTCACTGTTTGGGTAGACATATGGTGCCACAATAAATCAATAAAATCATAGATGGTATTGTAACTGCCATTTAACTTTTTTTTTTAATTTTTCTTACTTTGTTAGTAACTGAAAATGTTTTTTTTTTAAAACACACACACACACACACACACAGTCAGAACACTTTCTGTTCTTTACAACACCTTTAAAAATGTGGCTTCAATGTTCCAGTTAAAATGAAATTCCATTGTGAAATATGTGTATAAATTAGAGAGACAGACAACAAGAATCATATGAAAATGTTTATCTAGAACATAACTGGTGCTTTTGTGGTTACTGAATGTCGTTAAGTAAATATGCGTTAAAGAAGGCGCAGACAACTGGGGTCCAGGTAATGGTAATAAAAATTCAGAGTGTTCTCACTCACCACAGGGAGATATCTTCTGTTCTTTGAAGACATTACTGACGTTGTTCCTGACTGAGCAGACAAGACGTCCTGAGACGTACTGTTTCAGAGTGATGATGTTAGTCTCATTATTTATAGAAAGGAGCTCAGCATCTGTCAGTGTGCGTCCATCCAGAGTCCAGCTGTACTGAGGACTGTCCCCTCCCTCAGAGGAACAGGACACCCTCATCCCTCCCTGGGACAGACACTCAGAGAGCAGCAGGACAGAGGACACAGGAGCTGAGAGAAACACACACAGATGAGTTTAGATTTTAAATCAGAATCTAGGTCATTCTTGTTTCTCTTTAATGGGGAACAAACATAAATCATACAATACATGTATCTGAATTTTCTGTTTCATATCTATTAATGGCTTTACTGTATTTCTAAACAAGGAAAACATTACCTTGAACAAACAAGTGTAGAGTCTGCTCGTCTGATGCTTTTCCATCTGAATTAAATGTTATAAGGCTATAATTACCGCTGTCATCCCTGCTCAGATAATTGAGCCTAAATGTTCTATTACTGGGAAAAAAGAGAGACCCATTTTGTAATACATTATAAAGAATCTTTTTCTTTCTCACATCTAGTATTTTTAATGAATTCTTTAACAGTTGGTATCGAGGTATTTTTGAGGTGCTGTCCATCAGCTGGATGTCCACAGTTCCTCCCAAAGCTCCATAACACTGAGCTCCATCCTGTCTGCCATCACAATGAGTTTCCACACCTGCAAACACACAAAAAAGGAAACGAAAAGCAAAATTATTACAATGGACTGGCAGCACTGACAAATGTTTACTGAAAACAGAAATGGTGTTTTTGTGGCTACTGCCTGTCTGTATTTTTGTGAAGATACATTTATTGATGCAGGCATGTCTGTGACTGAAACATAGTTAGGGTTCAAGCCTTGAAGAAAAGTAAATTACTGTGTTAGAACTGAGAGGAAGAGAGAGAACCATTATATTAATGATACTAGAAGAGGTTTTTGAAACTGACAACTTAAATTCCCAAGAAATTCACGTTTCCGTATTAGGTAGTGTAAGATAAATTGTGACGTCCTATTAAAATTGTTAAAAAAATAAAATTAAAATAAAATAAAATAAAATAAAATAATGAACTGCATGAAAATATTTTAATTGGCACTGTAGCCCTAAAAACATGGGGTCCAATAGCCATGTCTCAGCTTAAGAAAATCCAACATAGTTGTTATGTTTCCTGAAAGTGCTGTTCACATGAAGTGATGTCAGAGTTTCCTATTATAATTAAAAGTGTTAATAAAGAAAAAAAGGAATTAAATGAAATTAACTAAAAAGAAAGAAAATGAAGGAAAAGAAAATGAACATGCTCTATATTAAAACATTCCTAAACTGCAGATGTATTCAACAGTTCCTGAATTTATTTTAAAAGAAATACAAAAAAAACAATTCCTCGACTGTTTTCAGCTCACCATGAGACAAACCCAGCAACATCACTATCAATCCAAGCACAGCTTCCATGTCTTCTTGCTGTTCAGAGTGTGTTCATACAGTTTGCAGCATAAATAAAAGAAATGACTGATACTACACATCAGTCGGTGTTCACAAACTGTATGTGGAAAGGTGATAAAGGAAGTAAAACCAAGAGCAGAGACAAAATAACATCAGCTTCTTCTTTCCCACGTTTTGTTTCAGATTTTTTTTTTGTTTTTAATTTATTTTACAAACACAGGAATGCAGAAATATTAAGCCATATATGTATACACTTACAGTCTCATTTAAAGGTTTTTCTTTATTTTCACACATATGGAATTAAGCAGTAAACAAAAAGTGAACTAACTCAAAGCATGTTTTAGATTCTTGAAAATAGACACATGTGGAAAGGTGATATAGGAAGCAAAAGCAAGGGCAGAGACAAAATAACCTCAGCTTCTTCTTTCCCACGTTTTTTGCAGTGTGCATATGTATATATATATATATATATATGTACATATACTAGTATATGTATAGTATAGTATAGTAGATACTATATACTTACTGTGCTATGTGTGATGAAAAAAAAAACACAACAAAAAAAACAAGAGCATTGAATGAGAAAGTGTGTCCAAACCTTTGACTGGTAATCAAGTACTCTGCATTGTCCCCTCAGCCTTGTTAAATCTAGGGCTGAGGGAACCAGAACCTGAACCTTAACATTACTGAAGCAGTGTGGCATCATGTTAACAAAGAAGGAAACAAAAGTCAACATCCAAAAAAGAGCCTGAAATTGTGTTCTTTGTATTTATGACTACAGATTTAATCAAAAGAAATTTTTAATTTTTTAAATTCTACAATTAAAATACTAATAAAAATACTTCATGATGAGTTACGTTTGTTGCTTTGAATTTGCTGCAACGTCTTTTTTTTTCCTCAAACATTTTAAAATTTGTCTGTGTTGAAACTTACTGGCAGCTGACCCCCAGAACATTCCCTTGACCTTGCTCCTCGTCAAGGTCAGCCACCCAAAGTGTCTCCTAAATCCCCTGATCTCTCCCAGCCTTCATGTCCTTACTCTTTTGCTCCCCTCTTGTTTGAACATCTTGTTTCTATCTGTCTTTGCTCCCTCCGCCCAACCAAGGCAGCATGAACTGTTTCATCTGTTGCTTTATATGTTGTTTTATCATTTTAGTTTTTTTATTATGGGTGATTTTTTTGAATTGGTTCTTGTATTAATTCTTGTAGAGTCTGTTATTACTTACAATTTCTTGTATAAACTTGTTCCATGTAGAATGTATCTATCTATCTATCTGTCTGTCTGTCTAGTTTTGATTTGTATTTGTTGAAATTGCTGGTTTTCTTTATTTATTTTGTGTTTTCTTTCTGTGAAGTTCACCTGTGTTCAGTGTGTCAGCTTTGGTTTTGATTCACTTCTTGTTTTATTTCTTTGGTCATCTTCTGTGTCTCATGTCTAGTTTTACTTCTTCTCTCTTGATTATTTTCATCTGTGTCATAGTTTCTCTTCCATGTCATCTTCCCCCATTACTTTTTTGTATATATACCCTCTGTCTTCAATTAATTCCTGCTATTATCTGCTCTTTTATTCACTGCATGTTTTTTCCTGGACTTTCTGGGATCCTATTCCTATCCTATTCCTCTTTTGCCTCCACAAATCATACAAAATAGTTGTTTTTTTTTCCTATTTGGAAATTAAGCCTTTAGTAGATCTACAATTTATGCTATAATCTCCATATTACACCATATTATAGCTATTTCTATAAATAAATAAATTATAATAAATCTGTTGATGCAGAAGGCTTCAAGAAAGGACAGATATGGCCTTGGCCATCAGGGAAACCAGGAGGCAGTACAGATTGAGACTGGAAGGATACTACAACAACTCAGATTCCTGATGCATGTGGCAGGGCTTGCAACACATCACTGATTTCCAACAGAGTAGCAGCAGGGTCACAGTCCGCTGCAACGCCCTACCAGATGAACTGAGTGAGTTCTACGCTCACTTCGACACCCTCAACACCAGCCAACATAGAGGGATTCTACCAGTAGAGGCATCACAGAGCTCCTCACTAGTGATGGGAATTCCGGCTCTTTTTAGAGAACCGGCTCTTTCGGCTCCCAACTGGCTCTTCAGGTTGTTTTGTTGGTCTAATTAATTTATTATCAAAAACCATATAAAATTATGCAGAAAAGGAATTACTAATGTAAAAAAAATGTGGTTTTATTTATATACGTTTATATATAAATATATACAGTAGGCCCTAGAAACAAAACACCAAAACACATTGCTAGCATTAACTGAACTTCCAAAACAGAGCTACCTAGATCACTTAAATTACACAGCATATGTCTTTTGTTTGTGTATTTATACACAAACACTCATATGTATAGATATATATATATATATATATATATATATATATATATATATATATATATATATATATATATATATATATGTAACCAACACATCACTACTCCTCACTAACTGTGACTTTGACTGAAGTATGCAAGGTTCTGATGAGGGCTAACCCCCAGAAAGCAGCTGGCCCTGACAACATCCCCGGCCCTGCTTTGTGGGTCTGCTCTTCAGAGCTGACTGAGGTGTTTACAGACATTTTTAATGTGTCCCTCACCCAGTCAGCTGTGCCCACATGCTTCAAGTTCACCACCATAGTTCCCTTCCCCAAGAAGAACAACCTAACCTGTTCGAATGGCTATCGCCCCATCGCAATCACTTCAATTGTAATAAAGGAAACTTCTTCACTCTTGGACTGACACCGTCCTGGACTTCCTCACAGGCAGACCTCAGGCAGTTAGAGTTGGTACCAGGACATCAGGTACAAAGACAGTAAGCACAGGGATCCCCCAGGGTTGTGTGCTCAGTCCACTCCTGTACACCCTCTTCACCTATTCCATTCCCTTCCTGTGCAACACTTCCATCATTAAGTTCACTGACGACACAACCATCTTCGGGATGATCACTGGTGGAGAGGAGGCTGCCAACACTTGTGTCCTGGTGGCTGGAAAACAATCTCTCCTTAAATGCTGAGAAGACTAAGGAGAGATTGTTGACCCGAGAATGAGGAGTGACCAGAATGCCCCACTATACATCAACGAGACTCAGGTGGAGAGGGGGAACACCTTCAAATTTCAATGCACCCACATCAGTGAGGATCTCAACTGGACCCATAACACACGGGAGATTATCAAGAAGGCTCAACAATGAGTCACAACCTCCATCATAGTGTGGTACAGGAATAGCACCATTAAGGACAGGAATGCTCACCAGTGTGTCAATAAAATGGCACAATTCATCTGTGGAGTACCCCTCCCATCACTACAAGAACATTTACAACACCCAGGTCAGAAAAAAGGGCAGACAATGTCATTGGGGACTGCACCCACCCACAGCACACGCTGTTTACACAGACGCTACAGGAGTTTGAAAGAGAGGACAACCAGACTAAAAAACAGTTTCTATCCGCAGGTTACTGAATCATGACTAATTGTTGTTCACTAACTAATTATTGAACTGTGATTATCTGCCATTCCCTCATTACTACCCTGTGTATTTAAGCCCTGTGTTTTCCCATGCTTGGTGTCGTGTTGTACCCTCAACTTGCTGTGTGTTTGTAATGTCCTGTCCTGTCCTCCAGCACCTTGGTTTAGAGTTTTGTTTTTGTAAGTTTTATTTCGTGAATCATTCCTCCAGCAATAAAGCTGCGTTTTCAGTTTATTCCCATCTCCAAGAGTCCTGCAATTTTGGGTCCACCACTTCTGCTTGCCTGCCACACAGCCAACTCTGACATGCATGAAGGGAACTTGCAAAGTAAGAATTTCATGCTCAGCGTAACCATTTGTGTTTTGTGGTGACAAAAAATTTCTTGGATCTTGAACATTGAATATGTCATGCTGTCTCTGTTCTTCATTGAAAATGACAGAGTGACCAATATTCTGATTTTGATTTAGATTAAAATAATCATCACATCAGTGATAGCTGTTTATACTAATTTGTATTTGAGCACTGTCAAACTGCTCATTAGTCATTCTGGGGAAGGTGTTAAACATATTGTGAATTTATTTGCACTTGGAATTAGCTAAGAGCCACTTAAACACACAAATCTTTGGTTTTCTAGACTTTGAGTTACCATTGTATTGATAACCAAATACAGCCAGAAAACTTGTTATTAATCTCTGGCTCTCTTTTTTTTTTCCCCACTATGTGTTTTTACATCTCTCTGGATGAAGTCAGTTATTATTTATCTCTGACTCTCTTCCAGAGTATGTTATTTGTTCTGGTTTCCTCCCCTAACTCCAGCCTGTCATAACATATGGCTACCCCTCCCTCAGCCTACTTCTGCTGGAGGTTTCTTCCTGTTTAGAGGGAGTTTTCCCTTCCCACTGTCTCCAAAGTGCTTACTCATAGAGGGTCACATGATTGTTAGAGTTTTGGCTGTTTTATTTGTAATTTTCTTGGGTCTTTTCCTCACAATAGAAAACACCTAGAGGCAACTGTTGTCCAGGATGAGACAACAAACATCCACAATTTTCAGCAAATACCTCAGGTAGCAGAAACCCAAGAAAGAGGAGGAACCATCATGGAAGGACAGTGCCCCTGCCCGGTATGTACCATCAGCAGACAGAGGAAGTGGCTGACATACAGAAATCGTACCAGTGGCTAGACAAAGCTGGAGTGAAAGACAGAACAGGCACTAATCATGGCAGCTCAGGAACAAGCTCTAAGATCCATAGAGGCTGGGGTCTATCACACCATGCAAGACCCCAGGTGCAGGCTTTTTAGAGATGTTACTGTCCAAGATGCAAGCAGGCAGGGCATACATGGAACACCATAACCACGTGGCCGGCATAGTATACAGAAACATCTGTGCCGAGTATGGCCTGGAAGTCCTGAGGTCAAAATGAAAGACACCAGCGAGAGTGGTGGAGAATGGCTGAGCTAAGACCCTGTGGGACTTGTACAGATGGACAAATTGGTGATGGCTAATCAATCAGACATAGTGGTG